ATGAAGCCAATTTGCTAATTGCTAGGCTTATATTTATTATTGTTTATGAGGTAATTTAATGTTATTAATTAATTTTAATATATAATTATTTAATATATATTTTTATAATTATTACTTTTTTTTTTTTTATTTAAACAGCATTTTGTGTATGCAATTAAATTTATTGCATATTTAATACCAAACCAATCATCAGCTCTAAAAAAAGCGATTTTTAAAAGAAAAATATAGGGTTAATCAAACGAATTTGGAAATAAAACAAGTGATTCTTCGAGGTGAAGTTGCGCTTCTTCTTGAAAAGAAAGAAAGCGAAAGTGTGAGTCCTCATCAAAAGGAAGTAAGTGAAGAAGTGAATCCTCATAAAAAGCAAGGAAGTGAAGAAAGTGAAGAAAGTATAAAAACTTTAACTAAATAGCCGTTTTGTGCGATATATAATTAATTTTTTAATTTAAGAATTATTGTCGCGACTAAAGTTGGAAACGGTTGAAGCTAGAAATTTTAGATATTTTAATATAAAAGTTTCAAAATTTTTGAGATGTTTCTTGTTTTATATTTAGATTAGAGTTAGGATTAGTTTTGATAATAAAAGAGTATAACTAGATTTTAATAGGGTGTATATTTTTAAATCAGGGATCCTAATTTCCAGCTTTAGCCGTTTCCAACTTCAGCCACGATAAATATTATTATATATATTGTATTAATAAATATTTTATTTTGATGCATAAAATTTGAATATTATTACCTTTTAATAATTGTTGCTACCTATTTAATATTTTGAGGAATGCGTTTATTAGGGTCCTAGTTTTTATACCAGGACCCCGAAATATCTGTAGATAGGTCGGGTACCAGCTTGCTTATTTTTGACCTTTTTTATGTATATCTTTTTCTTTTATAGTAATTAGTTTGCTTATTTTGAGTTTTTTGTAGTAATTTTTGAAAAACCTTAGCTATTTGTAGGTATTTCGGGGTCCTTTTATACCCCAAATTTATTATTCATACCACCCTGCAGATTAACTTTTTTTAAACTTTGAGCGAAAATATCTCAGTAATTAATAAGCCAAATTTGATAAATTTTTTTTTTTTGAATTATATAGATTCATAGAATTCAAATAAAAAAAAGTTTATCAAATTTGGCCTAGTAATTACTGAGATTTCTTTGCTCAAAGTTTGAAAAAAATCAAAATGTCTATCAAAACAACTATACAAAATTTCTTTAAACTTGAGAGAAAATATCTAATTACCAAGCCACTTTTTTGTTTAAATTTTATAAATCTATAGAATTCAAATAAAAAAAATTTATTAAATTTGACTTAATAATTACTGAGTTATTTTTGCTCAAAGTTTTAAAAAAAATTTAAAATATTTATCAAAACAGAAGCTGTGTAATAATTTTTTTCAAATTTTGAGTAAAAATATTCTAGTAACTATTAAGTCAAATTTAATTTTTTTTTCAGTTGAATTCTATAAGTTATAAAATCTAAATAAAAAAAAGTTTATTAAATTTAACTTGTAGTTGTAGGATATTTTCACTCAAAGTTTAAAAAAAATTGTAACATATCTTCTGTTTTGATAGATATTTTGAATTTTTTTTAAAACTTTAAACAAAGATAACTCAGTAACAATTAATATTTTTTTATTTAAATTCTATAGGTTTATAGAATTTAAATAACAAAGTTCATCAATTTTGGCTTGATAGTTGTCAAGATATCTTTGCTCAAAGTTTAAAGGAAATTTTATATAATTTGTTTGATAGATATTTTAATTTTTTTTAAACTTTGAACAAAGATATCTCAGTAACTACTAGGTCAAATTCGATAAACTTTTTTTATTTAAATTTTATAAATCTATAAAATTCAAAAAAAATATTAAATTTGACTTGGTAATTACTAAGATATTTTTGTTCAAAGTTTAAAAAAAATCAAATATAAAGAAGTATAAATAATAAATTTAAAAGTATAAAAACTAGAACTCTTTTATTATTATTATTATTATTATTTTTAAAGTTTTGTAAGTATATATAAATTTTAATAAAGTTGATATTTTCAATCAAGATAAAGAGTAGAATTAGCAATTAATTAATTTTACAGAAATCAGACTTATTTTGATATAAAAATTTAAAATTTTTGAAGTATTTTTTTTAGAATTAAATCAGGATTTAGAGTTAAAATTGATAATTAAAGAGTATATGTAATTTTAGCAAGATTTATATTTTCAAATCAAGGTTTCAAATTTTAGTATTAGCTATGATAATTATTATTATTTTTTGGTATTAAGATAACTTCTGGGCTGTCTGCTTTTATTTAATTATCAGATTAACTCACTTATTATATGATTACTATTCCTTTTTTAGAATAGTCTATACAATATACATATTAAAAAGTACATACTAGTTACATATATAACTTTTGGTTATCTATTTAAGTAGTCTACTTATTACTAAGTTTTATACTAGTAAATATATCTATAATCTGATTAGAAAGTTCTTATTTAAATCTGCTAATACTTTAAAAAAAAATAAAATAAGCTTTATTTAATAAAATAGCAATTTAGTAAAGTAGCAAAGTTGTCATATCTCCAAGCAGCATATTCAGAGTTTGAATTTTACTAGTAATAAAATTTAAATATTCTGTTATAGAATAGTTACTATCTCTTACTAATCAGTTAGATTTAAAATCTATAATCAAGATTATATTAAATATCTAAAAAGATTATTAGATATTTGTATAATATATAAGTTATATAAAAATATACAAACTAGTATTAGTCAGTACAAACTTATAATAAATTTTGATAACTATATAAAATTAAGAAACTGGAGAGATAGATATTTGTTTAGCAAAGAGATAGTACAAACTTTTTTTTTTTGAATATTAATGGTGAGACTATATCTTTGACTTTATTAAAATTTAATTTAATT